TTTTTTTGTAGAATGTTCAAAGAGATCAATGAAGGTATTACTTCCACTAAAAAGAAAAATAAGAAACTGTTAAACAAACATGTTCTAAAATAAAAGAACAGGTAGGTATAAAAAGAAAACTATTTCGAAATCCTGAAAATGTAAAATATAGCTATTGAAATTCAAAACCCAATAGATGAGATCAGCTCTATACTGGACACAGTTTGTGAATGCAATACTGAGATTTCACAAATAATTTAAAAATATGAAAGATCACTTATCCAATGGTCCATCCATAACACAGTGGACAAAATGTGTTACATTCAATAAAAAGAATACTACACAGCAGGGAAAAGGAAACGTCAGAAACATAAAATAATACGGAGTCTTAAAAAAAACGATAACAGAAAATAGCAAGATGCAGAAGAATAAACAATATAGTTATTTATATAAAATTGTTTAAATGTGTAAAGCTAAATCATATGCTATTTAGAAGAACAACTATGTGATAAAATTATGCAGAAATAAGGAGAAAACAATGCAGAATTCTGGAAAGTGATTATTTTGGAGAGAAGAGAGTGCAGGTGAGGAAGGGCTCATGGAGGACTTTGTGGGCATCACTGTGGGCACATTTTATCTTACACAGGGCAATGGGCACTTGGTCACTGATCGTTGTTCTCTGTTTGTTTTTGTTCCTGTTTTGTTTTGTTTTGGCGGCTGGCCAGTGCAGGGTTCAAACCCCGGACCTCGGCGTTATCAGCCACACGCTCTAACCAACTGAGCTGACCAGCCAGCCCTGATGGTTATTCTTTATACCTTACACATAGTTTTTAGAAATTCTACTGTATTGATTCAATATTTAATAAAAACAATAACAAATTCATATTTAAACACATTGTAGTGAAACGATAAAACCTTAAAGACTATCAGGAAAAAAAGAGACATTATCATCCCCAAACTAGTGGCAGGTTTTAAGATAAAAAGTTACTCTGTATGTGTCTTGAAATGTTAAGTGTAACGGTGATCTATAGTTTTCAAACCAAGAGGGGCGGTGAGATGAGGGTGGGGGGTTATGGGTGTGGGGGTCAGTGTTACAGAAAAGTCAAGAAAGGAAAGAAAAAAACAAAGGGAATGGTAAACCAAAAAAACAGTGAAATCAGTAATCACAAGAAATGGAAAAGGATTTAGGTCACCTACTAAAAAACAGAGATTATCATTCTAGATATTTTTTTAATCTATCTAAGAGACACCATTACTGCAGAGATAAAAAATAAACAATAAGAATATCCATGCAGGGCCGGCCCGTGGCTCACTCGGTAGAGTGCGGTGCTGATAACACCAAAGCCCCGGGTT